ACAGAATTTATCTTTATTTTCATGCATGTTCGTCTAGAACACTAAAGTTACTTGATATGCCAATATCTCCCGATATAGAGGAATACAATTTATCTATAATTTTCTACAACTTTCACACATTATTTCTACCTAGTTAAATATAACTACAATAACATAAAATTTGGGGAACAATACTTATCATGGAGAATACAATGTTCTCCTCCAAGTCCAAGAGGAACTTGTTGAGTTTTAAAGATATTCGTCGAAGTGGATATCATATTGAGACAATAGATGAGAATAATCTATTATCAAGAATGTCTCTGGGCAAATATCTCATCATTATCAAGAATGTCTTTGGGCAAAAGAGGGTTATTGAGAAGTTCCCATCTTTGTCTTGTGGCCTGTATTGGACAAGAATTAGTGCAATTGAGGCACATTCTATTGTAAACCAAAAGGTTACTGATTCCAATACTTTTGTGCTTTGGCATGATTGATTGGGACACCCTGGATTAATTATGATGAGACGAATTATAGAAAACTCAAATTGGCATCCATTAAAAAATTTAAAGATTCTTTTAAATAATGAATTTTCTTGCACTTCTTGTTATCAAGACAAGTTAATTATTAGACCACCACCAACAAAGTTTAGAATTGAGTCCTCTGCGTTTTTGGAACGTATACAAGGAGACATTCGTGGACCTATTCACCCACCTAGTGGGTCGTTTAGATATTTCATGGTCTTAATAGATGCATCTTCTAAATGGTTTCATGTGTGCCTATTGTCATCACGCAACCTCGCGTTTGCAAAATTAATAGCACAAATAATTCGATTACGGGCGCAATTCCCCGATAATCCAATTAAGCCTATTAAACTTGATAATACTGTTGGGTTTTATCCCAATTATTTAATGATTATTGCTTATCAATTGTGATAAAAGTGGAACATCATGTAGCTCATGTTCACACTCAAAATGGCGTTGCAGAGACTTTAATTAAACGCCTGCAATTGATAGCAGGACCGTTACTCATGAAAATGAGGTTACCCATTTCTGCTTGGGGTCACGCCATTTTGCATGCATCAACGCTAGTTCGTCTCAAACCGACAAATTATCATAAATATTCCTCGTTGCAATTAGTTTTAGGTCATGAACCTAATATATCCCATTTAAGAATTTTTGGATGCGCAGTATATGTGCATGTACCACCGCCATATCGCACCAAAATGGGTCCGCAAAGAAGGTTAGGAATATATGTTGGGTTTGAATCGCCCTCCATTATTCGCTACCTCTAAACATTGACGGGGGATTTGTTTACTACATGATTTCCAGACTGTCGATTCGATGAGACACTTTTCCCAAAATTAGGGGGAGAAGTTGGTGAAATCAAACAGAAAATTTTGTGAAAAAATCCATCATTATCTCATCTTGATCCACGTGCCTCTATTTGTGAAATAGAGGTACAAAAGATTATCCATTTGCAGAGAATAGCAAATTAAATGCCAAACGCATTTACGGATTTAAAAAGGATAACAAAATCGCATATCCTTGCAGAGAATGTTCTAATCCGTATTGATGTCCTTATTGGACAATTTTCTAGTGTCATAGCCAATGAGTCAAAAGCATGCCTAAAACGTGGCAGACCATTGGGTTCCAAAGATCGAAATCCTAGAAAAAGGAAAACAAATTATCAAAATGACACTACGAAAGAATCTCATGAAGAAATCTACGATTTAATAAATTCTGAGATTCATGAGGAATCCACTGAGCCCGAGACTCAATAAAATAAGGAACTATCAATAAAACCAATCGATATTAAGACAAATTTGAATCGAATGGATATAGTGGTGGATTATGTCTTTGCATATAATGTTGCATCTAGCATTGTGCAAGAAAGTGAGGATCTTGAACCTCAATCTGTTGGAGAATGTCAAAAAAGACTTGATTAGCCAAAATGGCAAGAAGCAATCCAATCAAAGTTGAATTCACTTGCAAAACGTGAAGTTTTTGGGCCTGTAGTCCAAACACCTAATGATGTTAAGCCTATTGGCTATAAATGGGTCTTTGAATGCAAGAGGAATGAGAAAATGAGGTACAAAGATATAAGACACGCCTTGTTGCACAAGAATTTTCACAAGGCCTGGTGTCGATTATGAAGAGTCATATTCACCTCTTATGGACGCTATAACGTTCCATTATCTCATTAGTTTTGATGTCCATGAAAAGCTTGACATGCATTTAATGGATGTGGTTACCGCCTACCTTTATGGCTCACTTGATAATGAGATATACATAAAAATTTCCGAGGGATTTAAAATGCTTAACGCACATAATTCAAAGTCCCGGAAAATGTTCAATCAAATTGCAAAGATCTTTGTATGGTCTAAAGCAATCAGGACGAATGTGGTATAATTGTCTTAGTGAGTATTTATTAAAGGAATTCTATATACATGGTGTCATTTTTCCATGTATTTTTATAAAGAAAACAACATCAGAATTTGTTGTACTTGCCATATATGTTGATGACATAAACCTTATTGGAACTCCTATAGAACTCCAAAAGGCAATTGATTATTTAAAGAAGGAATTCGAGATGAAAGATCTCGGAAAGACAAAATTATAGCTTGGTTTGCAAATTGAACATTTGGCAAACAGAAATTTTGTTTCATCAATCCACATACATAGAAAAGGTATTGAAACGGTTTTACATAGATGGAGCGCATCCATTAAGTACTCCGATGGTTATTCGATCACTTGATGTGAATAAGGATCCATTCCGACCTCAAGGAACTACCGATATGGGCTTATTTTATGGCAATAATTGCAGTCCTGATCTTTTTGGTTATGCCTATGCTGGGTATTTATCCGATCCACACAAGACTCAATCTCAAACAGGCTATGTGTTTACATGTGGAGGCACTACCATATCTTGGTGATCGATTAAGCAATCAATTGTGTCTACTTCATCTAATCATGCTGAGATAATTGCTATTCATGAAGCAAGTCGAGAATGTGTGTTATTGAGGTCTATAATACATCTTATTTGAGACAAATGTGGTTTGAAGTGTGACAAACTATCCACAATTTTGTATGAAGACAATGTAGCATACATAGCCCAATCGAAGGGAGGATTCATAAAAGGAGATAAGACAAAGCATATTTCACCAAAGTTATTTTTCACACATGATCTTCAAAATAATGGTGATATTAGTGTGCAACAAATTCGTTCAAGTGATAATATGGTTGATTTGTTCACCAAGTCTCTACCGACGTCAACCTTCAAGAAGCTAGTGTACAAGATTGGGATGCGAAGGCTCAAGGATGTGAATTAATGCTCTCATCAAGGGGAGTTAATGCGCGTTGCACTCTTTTTCCATTATAAGGTTTTGTCTCACTGAGTTTTCCTTGCAAGGTTTTTAACGAGGCAACCAAAAGGCGTATTATTAGATATGTGTATTTTTTTTCCTTTTCTAGAGAGATTCTAGAATTTGTTACTTGGTGACTAAGTCACTTTTTCCCTATAAATAGAGGGGTTCTATTGTAATTGATCCCAAATCAATAAGAATTCGCTCTACCTACTTTTCTATGCAATAGGCTTTTTTTTTTTATTGTTTTATAATAATTCTCAAAATAAAAATACTACTTGTCCAGACATGCTATAGCCACTATTTGAATAAAAATACTCTCTTCCTTTTGGTATGGGCGGGAAGAACTTGTTGCCGTAGTGTGTGTCTGTGCTAGCACACTGCCGATAACACTCCACAACTAAAAAAGGGGCACTACCATCTCTGACTGCACTCCACAATTTCCTTAATGTCGAGATTTGATTATCCAACGCTCTCCCGGCAAGACATCATCGCCGTATTAGCCGAATCTCAACTAGCCACCGTCTCCGACCAAGATCTCCTCAAACCCACTCCCGACTTCGTCACCAACCTCTACTCCACCGTTCTTCTCCATGTCGACTCTCTCCAGTTCAGTACATTTCTTCCACCCCTGCCACCCTTTAGGGCAAAAGCCCTAATCCTTTTCATTATTTTTCTGATTTTTTTTTTGGTTGCTAGGGAAGATGATGACCAGGNCCGTGGGCAAAAGCCCTAATCCTTTTCATTATTTTTCTGATTTTTTTTGGTTGCTAGGGAAGATGATGACCAGGTGGATTTTTCTGCTCTGGAGCACCTAGAGAACCCGGATGTTCATGTGGAATCGTTTCGGATCATGAATTTGTTTCATAAGATACGGGAGATGTTGACTACTTTAGATTGTCCCGAACCATTTACTCTCAGGGATTTAATCAAGCCTGACCCTGAGCGCACTAGGTTCTTTGTCGGCGCTATGCTCAATTTTTCACTTCACAGGTCCATTTCTCTCTCCCATTTTTTTTTTTCTTTTCTGGAAGCCCAATTGCCTGCACATAAATTGGTTCTATTCTGTTAGTGCTGAGGCAAACATATGGATTTGTCTTTTTATATGCCTTGATAATATAGGGACACTAAATTAAGTGCTATAAGTCCGATTGTAGAAGAGCTGACTCTTATTGATGAGCAACGACGAGCTTTGGAGGCTAGAATATCTCAGGTTGTAAAAACTTTTTGACATGAAGCTTGTTTCTCAAAGTTACTCTCGAGTTACTTACACTGTGCCTCGCAGATAAATGAAGAGATTGCGGAATATACTGAATCAAGAGAAAGGGAGATGCCAATGGTTCAACAAATAGACTCTAATGTTAAGGAACTGAGGCAAACCATTTCTGGTCTTAACAATCACCAAATGTCCTTGAAAGCCTCATTAAAAAAACTTAAGGAGAGGACTAAAGAGATGGATGAGAAGGTTAGTTGTTTGGCTTGTTAGCTCCTTCTAATATCATATTTGCTTCATGAATTGCTGATTGTCATGGTGTTGCTCTACTTTAGGTCTTTAGGTCTTAAGGTTTCGCGGATCTTTTTGTCCTGTCAAATATTTATATGCTACTAGAAATTGTAGAGAACTTCTAGTACCTTTTATTTTTATTTTGTATAATATTGGTATGAGATGTGTTTAAATGAAGCGACATGGTCAATGAGGATTGGTATTATTGACCCCAACTTACTTTGCATAGAAATGTAGTTTTGATTGTATAATAGTGGTGTCTGCTCATCTTGTACGCTCCTCGACTATTTCAACAGTTATTTGCTACTTCCCATCAAAAGTACCGAGTAACTCTACCTACCTATTTTTTGTTAGATGGGAAAAAAATATCTAATACTTTTGTGTCTCTGTTGGTATTTGAACCCTGGTCTTCCATGATTTTCGCCGACTTCATTGACCGCTAGGCTATAACCTTGGTTTGGTTGTTATTATTCAATACAAGCTAGAGCGTAGCTCTTGCCGGTATATTTGAGACTTTAGTAATATTTCCTCTTATCTACACTTTCCTCCATGCAATTTAAATGTGACTACATTGATATTTTAATATTCATTTAGGATTCACGCTGGTTCCAAAAAGATATTCTCTCCGTCCCATTTTATCCAATGCAGTTTGATTGAGCACGGAGTTTAAGAGAGAAAGACTTTGAAACTTGTAGTGTAATACAAGTCAGAGAAATTTGTATGGTTATAAATCATATGATTAAGGGTAAAATAAGAAATTCAAAAGTAAACTGTTCCTAAAATAGAAAAGTTTCATTCTTTTTGGGACAGACTGAGAATGAAAGTGCGTCACATAAATTGGGACAGAGGGAGTATGTGTTTCTAAGCTAATATAACATTTGCATTTGCGCCTCCTTCCAGATTTCTAATGCAGACTTTGCATTGGTACAAGCTGTTCATGAAAATGCCAATTTACGTTCTAAGATTGTCCAATCACCGGTTAAGCTTCAGGTATGAGTTTTATTATGGACCCTTGAGCTTGTTTATATTGAGTATCTGCATCAGCTATGTCTTCTAGATATCTTGTGCAAAGGATGTGATTTTGTTACTTGTCAAGGCAAGGGTTTGATGACATTACGCATGCAGGTCTATTTATCTCGAATACAATTACAAATAAAACTGATTTACACACTGAAGAAAAGTTTCTAAGCTGGATTTGTTTGCTTTTTTTCTTTTTCTTTGGTGAACCTATCACATATCTGCCTGCACCAGTTGTCTAGTGGTAGAATAGAACCCTGCCTATGACATATCATCCTTTGTTCTTTTCTGCTGTCTTGATTGAACTGGACTGCGCGGCACAAGCTAAGGTTCATGGTTGAATTGTTCTAAAAGTTCATGGTCAAAACTGTTAAGCAGTAGACTTTGTTTCTGTGTTGGTAATTCAAGTTTTCGTGAAAATTTGAATCTCTACTTTAGTAGCTAAGCTTTTTGAAGAAATGCTAAGATTTTTGATCTTTATTTGCTAAAACAATATCACTTGGTTCTTTGCTGCATGTGGCTTGGTTTCAATAACTCTACCTGTCTTTTAGTTAGATCAGTACAGATTCTATTGGTGAGATTAATCACAAATTTTCTGCACTTGCTCCTCTGATATCAAGTTACTACAGCTTTCCCCACATTTGAAGTGTTATCCTTTGACTATTTGAAATTTTTAGAGAGCACTGGAGGAAAAGAAATCATTTCAAGCTGAGGCAAGGAATGCTGAAAGAGCAGCAATGCAGTCTTTTCAAAATAAAACTTCCATTCTTGAGGTTTACACAAAGGTACTTCACATGCAAAATGCTATATTACTTTCCTATCGTGTAGTAACGAATAAGTACTATATACTAGTATCTTAGCTTCACTAGAAGAAATCGAGCGTCCATTTGCGTTCATACTCATAATTTATAATCTTTTATTTTCGACCTGTTTGAGTTTGTTTGAACTTTGATTTCTGATCAATTAATAGCTATATAGATAGAATCTTAACTCCTTGATTCTATGTTACTGGTTTTAAGTAGAACAGGAAAATCTTTGACAAGAAAACTTGCAGAACTTTTTGGAGATTTATAAAAGGTGGAATTGTGTACTAACCTCTTATTCGAGTGGTTTACTCCGTGCATGAGTGCCTCACGGGTCATGACATCCCCTTTTCCACGAATGTGCTACTTGGCCAGGAAGAAACAGCCTATTTGGCCAAATCACCCTTTTCTACATTGCACAAAGTGTTTAGTTATGCGTTCAATTGATTGGATAATTGTTTACTAGATGTTAGCAGCTTATTCTACAAGGTAAGAATATTTGATTGGCATGTGTGGCCAGTTTGCTGCTGGACATGTCGTAAGCTTTTTCTTGAGAAGGGAAAATAGAAAATTGCGAAAGAAAGAATTTGAGTGAATGTACCGTCTGCATTCAATTTTTCTCATTCTGAAGAAGAGTTGGCTGGGATGATTATAACTAATTTATGACATGTACGCTTGCATGTAAAAACTGTTACCTTCATACCAGTTGCAATGAAATTGTTAAGATGTACAACTTTGAGTGGAAATGCTTGTGCCGTTCGCTCTCATTTTGCTTTTACTTGTTTCTAATTATTTTTAAATTGTCTTTTCAATATCAGGCTCACCAAAAAATGTCCAAGCACTTCAATCAGATGCAGGCTATACAGGAGCAGGTTACCATTTTCTGCAGTATTTGCATGTCTTGTTTTGAGATAAAGTTTTTCTTAGCTCTTTTGTTTGATTAGTAATTTGTCATAGCTCTTCTGCGTTTTTCAGAGGATACCTCTTAATTTTCCGTTATAAATTATTTTACTTGAATCATTTACTATTGTATGGAAACAAGTGAAAAATTTGTTCAGTAGAATAAGGAAATGGAATAATTTATGAATAGCTAACTTGTGTATAATGGGGCTGAGAAATATATGTGAATTATTTCTATGTGTAAGTCCATGTATGATGACTTGAAGTAAATCCTTGTGCATTCTCATATAAGATGTCAAATATTCTGAATCTCCGTTGATGACATGGAACTGTCCGAATTTCACATCATCACATGCCACTTAATTTCTCCTTTTGGTTGTATATTGCTTTCCTTTTATCAAAAAAAGAAGAAGAAGAGGAAATTACAACGGAGTCTAAGAATGACTACGGTGAAATTTAATGTTGTGTGAGTCACTCGCTGTAGACCATGGTTGTCTAGAGTTTTACTCTATTTTTGTACTTGATAGTCATCATTCTAGGCAAAGCAGTCATGAATCCCTTTACATTTTGCCCAAATAATATGAATGATATTGACAGGTTAATTCAACTAAATCTATTGAGAAAGATATTAAGGCTCTCAAACAAAAGCTGAGTGACGAGGAGGTACTGGACAAATCCCTTGAAGCTAAACTAGTTGAAAGGCAAGGAAAAGGTAGCCGTGCTTTGAGCTGTTTTATTACTTTCATCTGTAATTTCCTCTTACCTCCAACACTAAATTTATATCTTATCCAGCGGACCAATTGGAAGAATTAAGAAAGCAATTAAAGAAAGAAAGAGATCTTAGTTGTGAGGAGGCTGCCAAAGAAATGAATTTTTTTAATTTGGAAATGGAATCAAAGAGGCATGGTCTTGAAGCAAGGCAAAAAGAGGTGGAAGGTGTGCTTGCAGAGGTACTGTTATCATGTCTTTATTTGCTAAAACAGTATATCTTGTTCGGGTTTGCTCCGTACTTAAATACCACCTTTTTCATTAGGCTGATGCAATAACTGCAAAAATTAACTCAGTAAGGGAGTCTGGAGCATCCNCTAAATGCCAAGAGTTGGGCCGTCATTGCGAAGAAGTTGTAGCAGAGGTACAATTCCCTCGACATCTATCTTCTACATATCTATTTTGGTAATTCAAATGGGGATTCAAACAATGGGAGCTAATATAATTGAGGCCGATGGCTGTGTTAATATCTGTTTACTATTATCTGGATCTTTTTCTGTCTGTCTGTCTTTTTCTCTCTGTCC